GGGGATGCTACAGGACGACATCGCAGAATGTATACGTGTTTTGATATATATTACTTTTATACCTATATGATGATGATAAGAACTGAGGACAGTACACTATCTGCTATGTCGTATTGGTTCTATACAGTTGCATAGACTCTCTGCGGTGTGAAATGGTCTGATACTGGAGAGAGTGTTCAGTGTGATCGTCTCCTGTGTGTGTTTTTTCATAAGTAGAAGCGGAAGAAATTTCTCTTGTTGAATGTGTGTATTATTTCCTAAGATGATAAGTTTATTATTATTTGAAAGAAAAGTACGGAAGTATCGATTGAAAACGCGCGCACACCTTTGGTGGGAAAATTCCGTCGTTGTCGAGTAGGAGAGCTTTTTGGTCGGGGTTGGTAGTTTATGGATGTGAAATGACTTGGAATCTTGTGGCTGAGTTTCAGGTGGTTGAAAAATTAATTTATATTTTCTGCAATTTTCTGTTTTTTTTGCCTTCGTATTGTTTGAATTTATGCACTTGCGGATTTGATGTGATTTTTATGTCTTGTTTAGGAGGAGGAGGAAGAGTTGGGCTCCTCGAAGCATTCATTGATACAAGCTAAGGAGAGGTGCTCGAGTTGGACCTGATTTGTATCTTTAATGGGTGAACCTAAGATACTTTCGTCTCACTCATACAGTACAAGAGCATCTCACTGAACAACCTAGCATTCTCGCGGGAAGAGGCCGCAAGCTTCGTGACTATCAACTGAAGGTGAACTCAAAGATATTTTTCGGCGTATCTTTAGGTCCAATTTTGTCCATTTAGGGCGTGGAGTGGCTTGTCTCATTATTCAATAATAAATTGAATGGAATTCTCGCTGACAGCATGGGCCTGGGAAAAACTGTACAGACAATTTCACTGCTCGCTTACCTGCATGAGCATAAGGTGAGATGAAAGCGTTGAGGAAATGCAAGATTGCAAGATTTTGTTGTTGTTAGGGTATTCAAGGTCCGCATATGATAGTAGCGCCTTTGAGCACGCTGAGGAGCAATTGGGAACAAGAATTTGAGCGGTGGTTGCCGTCGTTTAAAATTGTTTTATACGATGGTAACAAGCAGCAACGAAAAGAACTGCGAGAAAGGTAAGACTGCGGGAAGATGAAAAAATAATTTGCGATTGATATTTTTCTGAGAATTTTACACATTTTTCTTGTGAATCGCGAAATTTTTCAGTATTTTTGTGATTTTTTTCTGGTTTTTGGAGATAGCGGTTTTCCGACGAATTTGAATATTTCATTGTTTTTTCGTTGTTGTTGTTGATTATGATGATTATATGCGTCTCGAATTAGAGCTCAGTTTGATAATAGAAAAAACTAGAGTTGAGGAAATGCAAGATTGACAAGATGTCATTAATTCGCTTTTTTTGGTAAAAAAGATTTCCGGTCAGATTCTTCCAAACCGCATCGGCATCGTCGGGAACT